TATATATATAATGTATTTTGCTGCTAATATCAAGATTAATTTGAGGGGAAATCAAATCAACAGGCGTCTTTCACTCATTCTGTAAATCTTTTTGTATTCCATGTGGAACTATGTAAGGTGCTTATTTCACAACATCCCAAAGTTACGCATAAATGTTACAACCGACTTGTGCAAAAGCACGGCACAGACACATAAAAAATTTAGCAACAGTTTAAACCATTTGTTGTTTTAAATTACACCTTGGTTGTGAAAAATTATCTCCTGTTGCTTGGATGGAGCAATTTTTCAGTTTAAACCAACAAAGCTTGTTTGGCRACTTAGGAGGAGTCACTGTTGTTTTTGTAAACATGGATAAATAAAGAATTTCTTAGTTAGTTTTACAGGATTGTTACAACAGGCTGGTGAGAAGTAAAGACCAGGTGAACAAATGCGGAAAACACGAGAAAAAGAAAATGTTTATTTATATGTTTTTGGGTTTTAAGACATTTTCCGCCATCATCAAGAAAGGAAGATCAAATTAAAAAAATCCCACTACTAGCATTACATTTATGCAAAACTTTATTTCAAATAAAGCATGCTTCCATACAACACATCAAACATTGCGCATTCAATTAATTTTTTTATTTTATTTTGGCAATGATATGGRGAATGGACTGAACTTCACACTGAATAACAATCCCAATATTAGTCAAATCAGAGCATGGATAGTCTTTGCGGGGTTTTGATAAGATCATCTAGCACCATTTTTCAATTAAATTAGACACWAATTAAAATGGTACTATATGCTCTAATTAGAAGAGAATATGGTGCCAAATCACAACAAACATCTCCTCTGGAAACTGTAGAAAAAAGTAATAAGTTTAAATCTTAAATACACAGTAAATACTTTAGTCAGTTCAGTCTAACTAGAACACACTTCAGTTTGATTCAGTCTATTTCAAAATGTCATTTAGTAAACGTTGTCTCTCTGAGGCAGGTGTGTCCAGTTGTTGTGATTATGAAGCTTCTGTAGAACTTGAGGAAATAATTCAGTCACTGAATAAGGTGTGTTGAAGCAGAGGAACACGCAAAACATGATG